GTGAAAAGCATACCAGGTTTTGGGTGTCTCCTTATGATCTACCCAACTCCTGTTTCTTTTACTTCCACCAACACTGTCCTCCTGTTAATTACATCCCCCCAAAAGCAAACTCTTTTTATCCGTGGATAGCTTTTATCACAAAAGAAATATATATATAAATGTATGATGATGACAGGTGCAAAGACAATGGGCCAGAGAGCCTGCTTTTAGCTTCCTTGGGAACAAAAGGGTATTAGCTTTTTTCCTCCCCTATCAAAGCCCTAGCTTGACCTAGTTTTTTTCCTCCTTCTATTCAAAGCTAAACTGGGAAATAATACATTTTATTTTTTTAGTTAAAAAAAAACAAGAATAGAAAAAGGACTCATTTAATAATGAAGAGAGCATAGCCTTTATTCAATGCAAAGGGCACTGGATTCTATATTCATCTCTTCGCTAAATAGTCTTCTGAGCTTTAAAAACTAATTATAGGAGAAGAGTGACCTTCCAGTCTTTTGGGCTCATGCAGTGCTACCTGGTACTTTAATATGCTAAGACAGGCCCTCTGTAAACTCTGCTACATTGGAGTATCATTGAGGGGTCTCTCTCCTACTTACTTGGTTTCAATTTCTAATCTAGATACAGAATGCGACAGGTTAAAAGAAAGAACCAACCAAAACTAAAGAAAACAAAAATGAAAATTTTCCCTCTCCTTCTTTCTCTCTTGTACGTGCCATTTTCACCGTGTAGCCCTAGCTATTCTGTAACTCACTTTGTAGACCAGGCTGGTCTTGAACTCAAAGAGATCTACCTGCTTCTGCCTCCTGGGTGCTACAATTAAAGGGGTGTTACCACCACTGACCAAAATTTTATTCTCTTATGATGCGTTTCAAACCATATTCACATGCAAAACATGAACAAATATCTCAGGTTTAAATCAGCAAAATAAACCAGACATTGTAGCCAAATTTATGAAAAAACATGAGGACAAGCAAAACTAAACTTTGATGGTAGAGTTGGAACGGGGCTTATTTTGATGGTAGATCTTTGGAGGATACTAGGAAGATTTGATATTTTGATCTAGTTATATGGGCATATTTCACTGAGACCAAAAATGAAAAAATATTTATGCAACTGGCTTTTCCTTTGAGTTTAATATGGCAAGTAGTTTGATTGATCAAAAAAAGAGTAAAGAAAGCTGGATCCTTAATTCTAGCTCTTCGAAATCCAAGGCAGGGTCAGAGAGAAGCTGCATTCCTGCCTCAGCATCTCTTCTGGAATAGAACTGTTTCCTTTTACACTGAGCTACTGAAGATAACTAATGCAGCTGATTAACAATCTTTTGCAAGCATACATTACAATGAAGTTCTTATATGAGGAACAATAAGACACACGATCATTTGAAATACGGGTACAAAGGAAATTATCATCCAGAAATTGCTTGTAATTCAACTACTGAGGTTAATACATACAGTTAAACGAACAGAGTTAGAAGAAGGGGTAGGAATGTGCTTACTCAGACCACTTGAGAATACAGTAAAATGATGATTTGACAGTAATTCTGTGAAAGCACCTTAGGGGCTTGCTTTCTGTATTAAGGTCAGTTGGTTATATCTACTTGAGTGTTAATCAATCACTGAATCATTCATTATCTCTTGTGCTGGTAGATATGAGAATATTTTACTATTAAAGTCACATGAACATAATCTCAGTTGAGGAAAGTTTAGGTTACAGAAGAGTAAAATTAAAAATTAAGGGTTTTTTTTTTTTTTTTTTTTTTTACATGCTGGGGAACCACTACACCAAAGTTTCCAAGTTTCCTCTGTGACTTTTGTATAAGCAATCATTCTTACAAAATGCTCCATCCATACAATAAACAATAAACTGCACTCATTTACTATAGAAAGTCTCTTCTGTGAAAGGCTGAGTGAGTGAGTAGAAAGACAATCTGTTATGTTGGAGAAGACTATAACAAGGTTTTCTGTAAAAAGGAATAACAATCTGGTATACAGATCACTTTTACAAATCACTAGGAAAACCCCTCACTCAAAACATAACCAAAATTAAGCAACAGCTCTGAAACACACACACACACACACACACACACACACACACACACACACACACACACGTGTGCAAATCATGAAGACCAATACATACATATATAAAAATACAGAGAATGGCCCAGCATCAGTCATGAGAGAAATGTATACCAAATGACATCAAATTACCTAGTGCTCACATTAGAATGGCTGCTATCAACAGATGGAAGATACCCAGTCCTGATGACACATAGGCCAACGGGAACTCAGACCACTCTGAGGATGCAAACTTTTAGGCCTACTCTGCTTCTGACTTTTTCTTAAGAAACTTATTTTAAGGTGCATGTGTGCGTCTCTGTGTGTGTGAGGTGGGGGAGATATTGTGCCAGTATGGGTGTCTGAAGAGGCCAAAAGAAGGTGTCAGATCGTCTGGAACTGGAGTTACAGGCAGTTGTAGGTGCTGGGGATAAAACTTGGATCCTCTGTAAGGACAGTTTGTGTTCTTAATGGCTGAGTCATATATTTCAGGCTCCTTAGGAATACTTTAGAAAATTGATATTGTGGACCCTTAAAACTTGCACACACTATTACCCATCAATTCAAGTCCTAACATATGTCCAACAGACATGCATACACATCTCACTCTACTTAACTGTTGGGGAATATTACTTTAACTATCAAGGTGTGTTACATTTGTTCATGCTGCATTTGTTTAACTATGTAAAGATGTGTTGCTGTTTTACCTTGCCTGCCTATGGCACTTGACTGGTCTAATAAAAAGCTGAACGGTCAATAGATAGGCAGAAGAGGGATAGGCAGGACTGGCAAGCAGAGAGAGTAAGTAGGAGATCTCTAGGCTCTGGTAGAGAGAGAGGGAGAAAGGGAGACTCCCAGGCAGCCACCAGGCAGACATGATAGAAGGAGGAGAGTAGGACATATAGGAGGAAAGAGAGGTAAAAAGCCCCGAGGCAAAACATAGATGAAGAGAAACAGGTTAAATTAAGTTACAAGAGCTAGTAGGACAAGCATAGGATAAGGCTAAGCACTCATAACTAGGAAGTCTCCATGTCTTTATTGCGGAGCTGGTTGACAGCCAAAAGAAAGCTTGCTAAATTTAATAACCTACAACTTTTCAATTGTAACTATATATAAGCTAGTATCAGGAAAATTTTACCTACTGTCAGTGAAAATAGCTATATAGGTGTGGAGAGTTAACTGTATGAACAACAAAGACACTGTCTGTATCACTTACTTTCTGTTGCTGTGGTAAAATACCATGACCAAAAGCAACTAATGGGAAGAAGAGTTTATTTTGGTTATGGTTGTTTTGTTGGGACCTCTAGCTCACTCCTGCAGAGTCTGGGAAGCCCCATCTCTCTCCCTAAACCCTGTCCTCTCAGAGAATCTCCCACAAAGAAAAGGTGCCATAAACCCAGTTCTGCATTCTTGGTGGCTGTGGCAGCTCCTCCCCAAAGTTGCCAGAAACCCAAGTCCAGGCCTAAAGCACTCAGCTTTTGAGGATACTTGGGCACAAACCTAGCTTGTGGTGGATACATCATCACCCCTTGCCTACAGGCTGTATAAGTCCCTACTTTAGTTTGGGTGTGTGACTTCTTCTGCTTTGATCTCTGGGGTTGAAGAACTTACCTGGGAGTTGCTTTGCTCAAATAAACCTGTTCTTTTACTTTTTCATTTCAGCTTGATCTGGCTTACTGTGTAGGTAGAGAAACCCATTACTGAGATACAGAAAATCTATTAATGGTTCCAGAGGGAGACTTCATGATGGCAGGAGAAGCATGGCAGCAGAGGGCAGTTATAGGAAGCTTAGAGATCACATCTTCAACCGCAAACACAAAGCTGAGAGAATGAACTGGAAGTGAGACAAGCCTATGAGCTCTTAAAGCCTGCTCCTGGGCTGTACCTCCCAAACCCCAAACAATGAACCAAGTATTCAAATACCTAGTATATGGGGGACATTGTCCTTCAAGCCACGTTGTCTACAGTTACAGTTTCAATCTACATTCGGACAGAGATGAGCTACTGCTTCATCAGAAACTGAAAATAAGATCATGGTCCTTACTTTTAAAAACTATTTAATTTTATTTTTTGTCCTTTGCTGCTTCTTCCGTGTGTGTGTGTGTGTGTGTGTGTGTGTGTGTGTGTGTGTGTGTGTGACTCTGGGTCTCATTGTCCAGGCCAGCTTGGAAATCGCTGTGTGGTGAAAGGGGACTCCAGACCTTCCTGCCTTCATCTCCTGAGTGCTATGATTCCAGATAAGCCTTGCTTTCCCAGCTCTTGGTCTTTGCTTTTTAAAAGTGTTTTTATTTTATTGTACCATCTGATGTTTCACTTAGATAGACAGGAGATAAGAAGGATGAACCTAAGCACTGTTGCCATCACTTTTCTACTGTACACAGCTCAACGATGACCTAAGTGAGAACAGTTTACTCTTGCAAGGCAGACATAGGAAAATGTCCAGCTTCATCAAATTCCATGTGTTAAGTCAATAAATTGTACAAAGACAAATGCTGAGTGATAAAGTTAAGAGAGACCTCCTTACTTTTGTCAAAACAAATGGAAATAGCAGGGACAGTACAGTATGTGTGAATGAACATGGGAATTACAGAACATGCTTGCAGGGTTTGACATACTCCGAGCTGAACTTTACCTTCCATCAGTTTGTCAAGGGACAGAGTCAGTAGCGCTTTGCAGAATGAATGGATGGACAAAGGACTGTATCGTACCTGTCCATAAGTTGAGGCGTGCTAGCCCAACTTGGCAATGCTTTAGCTGGGTTCACAACTTCTCCTTGCTGACATTTGAGCCCAAGGTACAGTTGCATGAGAAAGGAAAACAGATTTTCCAAGTTCAAGCAACTGCTGCTTGATCTTTAGAATCAGCACCATTTCATCTGAGAAAGGATTTGCTGAATGCATGGGTTTCCTCCCTTTATCTAACATAGCTTAGAAAGTAGGTATTTACCTTATGAAGTCTTCTTCTTCTTCCCTCTTGGGCCTCAACTGTTTGGGCTGAGCCATGTTAGTCCAGTTTGGCAGTGACTTCAAGAGCCTGCTGATGTCGTCATCTTTCGCCCACGATGCACTAATGACAAGTTTCTCTTCTGACTGGACAATGCCCCTGAAAATGGCCACAAAGAAACGGACACTTTAGCACCATATACAGTGAGTGTTTTCTTCTGCTTTGCTGTAAAAAAGATGGTATGGCCACCTCTTCTTCACACAGTCCATCACCTGTCATATTGCTGGGAAATGACATCCCCAGGTTTCAGTTTCCAATTTGTTGAATAATCATAAGCTGATAATATTGGTTGACTATCTTATGATTGTTAATATTTTATGTCAAACACAAATGTATGGAAAGTTTGGGTTGGACCTTTCAAGAAATATTCAGAAAATAAAAAGTAGGACAATCATATTTTTAAAATGCTATTTAAATGACAAAATAGTGGCACCTGAAAGGTGACATAAGTGTTATGATAGACTGTTCTCTGACTTTTTTGGTTTATGCTATCAATTAGTTCTTTGTGAAGGTAGCTTTTGGATGATGCTGGACAAACATCCCTCTATTCAAAGCAAACCTACTATCATAAAGAAAGCCTGCACCCCAAATGTCAGGCAGGGAAAACCTTTGATTATAGCTAACTCTACTGGGCTTTGGCTACTGACCTAGAGTTGACAGGCTTCTAGTCCTTTAATAGGACCCATGGGCTCACTATTAATTCTGCCCTTCCCAGAACGTTCCTGAAAAGTCACCTTAAATGTTCAATTTCAACTTAATTAAAAAGATTCTCTTTCTACTCAACATTTCTGCTAAAAAATTTTAAGGGTCTAAAAATTCTCCTCAGCAGTCCTTCCTGACAGAAGTGACATTTACTTATGGGATGTTCATGAGCTGGACATTCTTCTAATGATGATTAAATCTCCAATCTCTGGAGTCTTCTCTCATCACTGGCAAGGATATCTTTCAGTGCTAAGAACCATGCTGAGATACAGCACACATCTTTAGACAAATATAAACGGTGCATACGTACCTGTAGGAAAAGTGCCTTGACCCAACAGACAATTCACTATGACAAACAAGAAAAGGCGAGGCTTACAAACCTTGACTCGTTGCAGCCTGACCCTTTGGTTTCCTATTGCAACAATACTGCCCTGGTTCTTTTTAAGTAAGACAGCTTAGGAGAACTATGGGTGATGGCTGGGATTTTTCTAGCTCACCTCAAGCAGAGGTTTTCAGATAAAAACTGTGGTCAGAGGTATAAACTTATGACAGCATCATGCAGCACGATACCCCCTCAGATTTCTAACATCCCATTGCAGGCAAGCCCTGAATATTCTTTGGTAGTATGAAAATGTGTCTCTGATCCGCTTTCTCTCCATATTTAATTAGTGGCCATTTAAAACATTTGTCTTATATATCCTCATTGCCCACCTCTAGATCCTTTATATCTGAGAACAGAGAGCACACTTTACACACTTGAGTTTCTGTCTTCAGCAGCATATTCAGATATATATCTTCCTTTGTTTCTAGTTATCCCTCTACTTAGGCTCTTAGGAATCCCAGGCCATTCTTGCTCTTTCTTCCTATATTTCACGTCTCTCCATGACACAATTCCCTAGTCTCTGTTAGTTTTCTAAATAAAGCATACACGATTTTCTTCCTGACCCAGAATCGCTCTTTTCCAAAGTTCTCCTCTCTCTTTAAAAGCTTTCCATAGAATGATTGGCCGGAGCATCCTGGCTGTACCCAGGGATGAGCCCAGCCTGTGTATAACTTCTGCACAGATTAAATCTCCACCTCTGTGTGTTGCAGGAAGTATCATCTTTTTTTTTTTTTTTGCCTCTACCTGTAGTCTGATACCAATGTGGTCCTCTCAGCATCAGTCCTTACTTGTTCCTGTGGTTTTTAATTCCTTTCCATTCAGGAAATATGGAGACTTAGTTTCTTTCTGAGTTTGGTTACCATTCAGAAATACTTCTAAAGCTAAAGATTTTTAACAATTTTGTAAATGTTAACAGGACAAGGGCTTCCCAAATCTATTCTCTCCACATTTTTGACAGGTAGTTAAAATTTAGTCTTAAGCCAACATTATCCATATTTGATTTAGTGGCCATTTAAAATATCTATCTTGTAGATTTCTCAAACCAGCATTCCCGTGTTGATCTACCCTATTGGCATGTCTTAAATCGTGAGGCTCTTTGACTGTTCTCAAGGTTCTAATGTTTTTATTCCTCTTTTCTCTTCTACATCTGCTTATTCTTTTTACACCATTCCCTCCTGGTTCTATTAGTGCAACCAGAACCTACTAGGAAGCCAAAGTGATAGTTCCTTTCCTGTGCCCACTCCTTACATGCAGAGTCATTCAGGTCAATGCATTCCTCACTTGGGCAAGCTTGTCTTCTGCACAGACTGGTGATTCTTCCATCACTTCTCACTCTGGTTCCTACATTTGAAAGGTTAACTAGAGAATTCTTTGTTGACAGTTTGCTTTGTTTCAAAGCAAATGAATTAAAAGGAATTCAGTAATTTTCATTTCTCTCTTCTCGTTAGACACCTGGCATCCCCTATTCTAGCCATCCTGTAATTCCAATCAAGAATATAGTCTTCTTAATCACCAACAGTGACCACATCCTGTTAATTCCATGTCTTTAATATCTTATGAATAGTCATTTCCTGTCTAGATTCATTGCCACTAATTGGCATTTAAGCCCTAATCATTTCTCATGTGAACTTGGCAATGACTCAGTAACTTGGCACCTTGCCTGGAGTTATGAGATCATTAGTTGTGCTTATCATGGCAGAAGGGTCATCTCTGTAAATTAAAATACAATGCTAGTCCCCTTTTCAGAACCAGACAGCAGCGTGTGAACATCTACCTGTTCTGTGCTACCTCCTTTGTCCCTGCTCACTACTCCAGGCCTCCCCTACACAGGCTGGCATGCTGGCTAGACATCCTATCCAGAAGCATAGTTCCAAAGTGGGAGGTACTGTCTCCTCTTCTTTACGCTATCATATCCTGTTTGCATGGTTTTACTCATTAAAGGTTACTTTGGTTCTATCCTTGCTATTACTATGTGTATCTTTTTGTGTCCTGTTGTCCTTAAGGTAGAGGTTTTGGTCTTGACTGTGCGCTAGAATCACTTAGGGAAGCTCTTAAAAAACAATAACAACAACAAACACACAAAAACAAACAAACAAACCCTCCCCCCCCCCCAGGATGCCCGGGGCATATCTAAGACTAAACAATTCAGAACCTGGGGGAGGCAGCATGTCTGGGATGGAATCTTTAAATTTCTCATGCCAGGGTTATCAATATCTCTCCTCTCACCGCTGCTTTTTTTTTTTTTTTTTTTAACAATCAAACTAGGATCACAAACTGAGTGTTTTGAGGGTACTTAACTGCTTGTCAGTTTTCTTAGTACCTAGCATGATATGTATAAAAATATAAAAACTGAACAGGAGATAAAAATACTTCTTGCACTAGTCTAGGTAACTCATTCATCTGAGGCCATTTTAGTGGGTTTCTTTTCCCAGTACTTAGCTCAGACCATTCACTAAGTCAGTGGTTTCGGCCAAAGCACAGATTTACTCTATGCCTCTCTAAATCACTAGGATCAGAAGCTGTGAATAACGAATATATGTGTCTCCTCTAAAAACTCAACAGAAGCAAAGTACTCACACAGAAAACAAATGAACCAAGGAGCAATTGTTGATAAGCCTTGCCCTGCACTCCACTTCCTTCTAGGTGGTCTATTATGTGGAAAGCCTCTTCAAAACCTTGCTTTCTCTGTGAGTTTGTTGACCATGACATATAAGGATTTCTCTCCTTGGAAAAGACACAAAGCAAAAGCCTTTGCTTTTGTATGGATCGCCTACCTCTCAGTATTTCATTCAATCAAAGAAACTGGCCTGTGGATTCCACCTGCACGCCAGTTGTCCTTTTAGGTACTAGAGCTCATTTCAAGGTTGTCACTTTTAATGGTTTCCAGTGTTAAAGAATAGTATTTTGTAATGTGGGTAAATTATTTGCAATGTAAATTTCAATGCCATATCTATAAGGAACCTTGGCTGAGTAGTTCAGTTCCCTTTAGAGACCCATTATAGGTGAAATGCTATTTTGCAGAGTTAGAAAGCCAGACTCATTTTTCCAATTCTTAAACCCGAGCCTGTCCAAGGAAAGTGAATGTATCCACACCTGTAAGAGGGTATTATACGTTTTGGATAGTTGTTGCTACAATCTTTTATTTTAGTACTTCATGGAACAAAAGAAACAATATCTAAGATAGTCATTGTGTTAAAGGTACTCAGATTATTTACTTAAAAAACACTGCTTTTAAAAGTTCAATAATATATTACTACCTGGTATCATTTTATTAAGAAACAGTAATCTTAATTAATCCAATTGCTAATATATACTGCTCTCAAAAGACAATATATTAATTCATATTGGAATAAAGACAAAGCCAAAAAAGCAATTCCTATTACCTAACTTGAAATACTGACATCTTGTAGGAAATAATTGCCCTAAAGGAAATTTTTCATTTAAAAAACTGTCTTTATTAATTTTTCATTTAGTAACGAAGCAAATCAGGTGGGCTATAAAATTCCAGGACATATCTAAACAGCTTTAAAAAAGGACCCGAGCATTCCCAACAAGTATTCTGGTAAGGGGAATGGGGTTGATCATTCCAACCTGAACCATAATCTACCAATTAATTCACAGTTTGACGGGCAATGGACAGAGCCATCTGCCTTCCCAGGGGAGAGGAAAATAGGTGTGTCTCTTCAAACAGGTGATGGGGTGCCATGAGAAGAGTCTCCCCTCCAGACATGGCTGAGTGGATTTCATCAGAAAACATCTGCTCATGTCAACTGGCTCAGACGCACGTTTCTTGCACTGAAACAATTAGGAAGTGCAAGTGTGCACAGTCCCTAGACACAGCTGGAGTGCTGGGGCTTTCATTAGGTAAGCAACCAGGGGCAGGTGGGGCTAACTGGATTCAACTGTTTTGTGACAGCCAGGGCGTGATGCTTACTTTCCCAGACTGAATCTTCCAGACGCTTCAAAGCTAGAAGCCAATTTAGACAAATGAACCAAGGACAAGGTTAGCTCAAAT